TCTGTGTCTATGAGATTGACTTTTTTAGACTCCACATCTAAGCGAGATCATACAGTATTTGTCTTTTTGTGTCTGGCTTGTTTCACTTAGCATAATGTCCTCTACTTTCTTCCATGATTCTCATAATGGTGTCTTTCACAGAGTCAATATTTCTAATTTTAACTGTGGCACAACTTACTAATTTTTTATTTCATGGATCATAATTTTGATGTTCTAAGAAACATCACAAAACCCAAGGTCACCTCGATTATCTTCATTTATTTCTAGAAGTTTTGGCATTTGTGTTTTATAAGTAGGGCTCTGACCCATTTTTAGCTAATTTTCATGAAATGTATAAGATTTATATCTGGGTTCTTTTTTTTTTTTTTTTTTTTTTGGTATATAGATGTTCCAGCACCATTTGTTAAAAGACCATCCTTTCTCCAATGACTGACTTTTACACCCATGTTAAAGATAACTTGACTATTTTTGTGTGGATCTATTTATGGGCTCTCCATTCTGTTCCACTGATATTTCTATCTATTCTTTCTAACACATGCTGTTTTGATTACTATTGCTTTATGGTGAGTCTTGAAATTAGGCAATGTGATCCCTCAACTTTGTTCTTCAGTAGACTGCTGGCTAGTGTAGGTCTTTGACCTTCTCTTATGTTTTAGAATCTTTTTGCTGATATATACAAAAGGGTTTGCTGAAATTTTGATTGTGATTCCAATGAATCTATAGACAAAGTTTGGAAGAATTGACATCTAAACATTATTGAATGTTCCAATTCATGAATATGGAATATCACTCTCTTTACCTTAGCTTTTTTATGATTCCTTTCATCTGAGTTTTTGTATTTTTCTGAACATAGTCCCTGTACATTTTTTGTTAGATGTATGCCTAATTTATGTTATTTTTTGCTAATATAAGGGTTATTATGTTAGTAACTTTAAATTCCAATTGCTTACTGTTGGTATGTGGAAAAACAATTGGCTTTTCTTATATTGTGAAAGGCTGAATAATAGCCTCCCAAAGATATTCACATATGAATCCCTGGAATCTATTTACATGTTACCTCATGTGACAGAAGGGACTTTGCAGATGTAATTACATTAAGAATCTTGAGACAGGGAGATTATTGTGGATTATCCGGATGTGCCCAATGTAATTACAAGAGTCCTTATAAGAGGAAGGCAGAAGAAAAGAGCAGAATTGGAGATGTTGATGTAATAACACTACCTGGATCATTTGATGATGGGCCGAGGGGCCGTGAGCCAGGGAATGCAGGTGGCCTCTGCAAGTTGGCAAAAGCAGAAGGAACAAGCCCTGCAGCCACTCTGGCTTTAGTTCAGGCAGACTGAATTTGAACTTCTGACCTCTAGAACTATAATCATAGATTTACTTTAATCCTATGATAGTTTATTAAGCAATAATATATGTATATGGAGTGTGTCTCTGTGTGTGTACATATATAAATCATGTATACCATAACCTTGCTATACTACTAATTATTTCCAGAACTTTTGTTCCATTCATTTTTTTGGTGGAGGTTTTCAGATTTTCTTGGTAGACAATTATATCATATGCTTTAAAAAAAAGAGAGAGAGAGAGAGACAGTTTGATGTCTCTAATCTATTGTCCTTCTAATCTATTATACTTTTTTTTCCCATTTTCCTCTTTCATTGCACCAGCTAGGATTTCCTGTGTGATGTTTAATAGGGGTGATGAGAAGAGTCCCCCTTGTCTTGTTCTCAGTTTGGGGAAAGCACCCAGTTTCTCGCCGTTAGTTGTGATGTTAGCTATAGCTTTTGTAGCTGTTCTTTGTTGAGTTAAGGAAGTTCCCCTTTATTCCTAATTTTCCGAAAGCTTTTATCATGAATGGATGTTAGATTTTATCAAATGCTTTTTCCATATCTACCTATATGATTTTATATTTCTTCTTCTTTAACCTGCTGATGTAGCGAATCACAGTGATGGATTTTCCAATGTTCTAGCCATACATTCCTGGAATGAATCTCACTTGATGTCCCTCCTGCTTTTATTTTCTGGAAGATGTTATAGAGAATTTGTTTCATTCTCCCTTAAATATCTGACAGAGTCTCCCAAAGGAAACCTTTGGGCCTGCTGTTTTCTTTTTGGAAGGTAATTAGTTACTGGTTTAATGTATTTAATATCAGTACAAAAACACCTATTAAGATTATTCATTTCTCCTTGTGTGAGTTTGTGTTGGACTATTTCATCTAGACATCAAATTAATGGGCATGGAGTTATTTCTAGTATTCTTATATATTCCTTTTTATGTCTATAGGATCAGTAGTTATGACACTAATTTCATTTCTGATATTGTTAATTTGTATTACATTTCTTTTTTTATTTCAAAGTATTATGGGGGTACACATATTTTTGGTTACAAGAATCACTTTTATAATGTTTGAGTCGGGGTTATAAGTGTGCCTATCACCCAGCTAGTGTTCATTGTGCCTGTTAGGTAGGTTTTCACCCATTCCCACCTCCCCCTCCCCCATCATTGATTTCCATTGAGTTATACTTCCCTCTATGCACATATGTGCTCATTGGTAAGTTCTAATTTAAAAGTGAGTACATGTGTTTTGTTTTTCCATTCTTTAGATACTTTACTTAGGACAATAATCTCCAGATCCATCCATATTGTTGCAAAGGCAGTAAGTCTTCATTCTTCATAGCTGAGTCATACTCCATGATGTACATATACCACATTTTGTTAATCCACTGGCATTTGGGTTCATTCCACATCTTTGGGATTGTGAATTGTGCTAAAATAAAGAGTCAAGTGCAGGTGTCTTTTTGATGACATGGCTTCTTTTCCTTTGGATAGATACCCAATAGTGGGATTGCTGGATCAAATGGTAGGTCTACTTTTAGTTCTTTGAGGAATCTCCATGCTGTTTTCCAAGGAGGTTGTACTAATTTGCAGTCCCACCATCAGTGTATAAATGTTCCTTTCTCTCTGCATCCACGCCAGCATCTGTTGTTTTTGGACTTTTTGATAAAAGTCATTCTCACTGGGGTAAGGTGATATCTCATTCTGGTCTTAATTTGCATTTCCCTGATGATTAGTGACATTGAGCATTTTTTCATGTTTATTGGCCATTTGTCTATCTCCTTTTTAAAAACTTCTGTTCATGCCTTTTGCCCATTTTTTAATGGGGTTATCTTATTTTTTTTTTTCTTGCTAATTTGCTTGAGTTCTTTGTAGATTCTGGTTATTAGTCCTTTATTGGATGTGTAGCTTGCAAATATTTTCTCCCATTCTGTTCATTGTCTATTTTCTATTTGAATTATTTCCTTGGCTGTGCACAAGCTCTTTAATTTAATCAAGCCCCAATTTATTTATTTTTGTTGTTGCCGTGATTGCCATTGTGGTCTTCTTTATAAAGTTTTGCCTAGGCCGATATCTAGAAAATTGTTTCCAACATTTTCTTCTGGAGTTATTATGGTTTCATGCCTTACATTTAAGCCTTTTATCCATGGATTACGGTTTGTGAGTGGTGATAGATATGGATCCTGTTTCATTCTTCTGCCTACAGCTATCCAGTTGTCCCAGAGCCATTTATTGAATGGGGATCCTTTTCCCAGTGTCCAATGTTGTCTGCTTTGTCAAAGATCAATTGGCTGTATGTGGATGGTTTTATATCTGGGTTCTCTGTTCTGTTCCATTGGTGTAAATCTCTATTTTTGTGCCAATTCCATGCTGTTTGGGTTACTATAGACTTGTAGTATAGTTTGAAGTCTGGTAATGTGATGCCTCCAGATTTGTTCTTTTTCCTTAAGATTGCTTCAGCCATTTGGGCTCTTTTCTGGTTCCAAATGAAATGTAGAATTAATTTTTTCTAGAGCTGTGAAATATGATGTTGGCATTTTGATGGGGATTGTATTGACTCTATAAATCACTTTGGGAAGTATGGACATTTTAACAATGTTGATTCCACCAATCCATGAACGTGGTATGTTTTTCCATTTGTTTGCGTCATCAGCAATTTCTCTCCTCAGTGTTTCATAGTCCTCTTTGCAGAGCTCTTTAACCTCCTTTGTTAGGTATGTTCCTAGATATTTTATTTTCTTTGTAGCTATTGTGAATGGTATTGAGTCTTTGATTTGACTCTCAGCTTGACTGTTATTGGTGTGTAGGAAAAAGAAACTACTGATTTGTGTACATTGATTTTGTAACCTGAAGCTTTGGTGAATTTACTTATTAATTCCAGGAGTCTCTTGGTCGAATCTTTGGGGTTTTCTAGATATAAGATATCATCAGCAAAAAGTGATAGTTTGATCTCCTCTTTCCCACTTTGGATATCCTTTTTTATTCTTGGTTAGCCTAACTAAAGGTTTATGAATTGTACTGATATTCTCAAGTAAGCATTTATTTTTTTTATTTTCTCAACTGTTTTCTTGTTTTAAATATTAATCATTTCTGCTCTAATTTTTATTAAATTTTTCTTCTTCTCTAGGCTTTAATTGCTCATCTCTCTCTAGTTTTTCAAAGTGAAAAAATAGGTTATACTAGATTATTGTCCTTATGGCCTTCTTTTTTTTCTTTATTATATACTTAATACTATAAATTTCTAAGTACCTCTTTCACTACATCCTACAAATTTTGATAAATTGTATGTTCATTTTCCTTTAATTCAAATGTTTTTATATTCCTCCTGAGCCTACTTATTTAGACCATGTGATATTTAGAATTGTGTTATTTAATCTCCAAATATTTGAGTATTGTCTAGCTACTTTTATGTCTCTAATTTCTAGTTTAATTCCATTGTGGTCTGAGAACATACTTTGTATTATTTTTATTATTTTACATTTGTTCATGTGTTTTTTATGGCCCAGAATGTGACCTATCTTGGTGCATGATTTATGGATGCTTTTGAGAATAATATATATTATGCTGTATATTTACTGATTTTCTCTCTGCGTAAGCTTTGAATTACTAAGAGGAGTTTTGAAGTCTCCTACTATAATAGTGTGTATTTCTCCTTTTAGTTCTATCAGCTTTTAGATCATTGTTAGGTGTTTTTGCTCTGTTGTTAGGAGAATAAATTTTTAAGATTGTTATGTGTTTTTGAATATTCACTGCTTTATCATTATGTAATATCCCTCTTTTCCCCTTGTATACAGACATGATGGTATTCACTAGTGGCCCACTTTTAGTTCTGGACAAGCAACGCCACAAAATAGATCACACTATGTCGGGCTTAAAGAGGCAAAGTTAGAGTGAGATGAGCAGAAGTTTCCTGCTGTTTTCCTCTCCTGCCACACCACCCATTTTTCAGCCCTCCCCACAGCCCCAGTGAGCTGTGTTCTCACTGTCCCACAGGGTAGCTGCTGCTTTGCTCCCCCAGGTACCTTTTCAGGGGCTCATGAGTTGGAGCAGACATAGACCACCCCAAGGCTAGTGTGACAGAGGAATCCTTAAAGCTGACATCTGAACAATTAACTTCTTTTCTTGATATGAATAAGGAAATCAATACTGAGAACAACTTGAATGTGATTTAGGTTTTACAAGTTTTACAAGATTAAATGTGGCCTCACATTATTGGTTTTATTTACCTACCATTTTTCTTGCTTAACAAGTCTATATTTCGCTTTTTTAAAAAACTTTCCTTAGGAATATAAAAGACACTCAAATGCCGATTGTCAATATCTGGGGAAAAGAATGGACATCTGAAAATAGCACTGGGTTTCTGCTAACTTGTGGCAGCGAATAAGCTGTAAGTCACGGTTATGCCACCCATCCTGTGAGTTTTTAAATCAAATTTTACTGGTAATTTCGTGTTTCTGATAGTGAGATTTAAAGTTCACGGTTCTCTTACTATCTTCCAGGAGTCCACCCTTTACCCCATGCTAGGCAGGCTGCAGAGGAATAAAAGGGAAGTTTTATATTTTATGCATCGTATTTTTATTGATCAAACTTCCTATCTTTCAGAAGAGTCGGAAAGTTTTACCTTAACTACTTGCGATGCAAACTTGCATCCAGCCTTTACGCAGAGGGAGGCAGAAGTGCTAACCAGGGACATTTTTAATGTGACTAAAATGCTGCTGTCTCACCTTTAGCCTTGCATCTGAGAGAAGAGGGAATTGAATTTATTGCAGATCATTCTTTTGAATCAATCTAAAAGCAAGACTGAGAGAAATGTATTCGTGGTAATGAAGGTTTTCTGGTGACAAACACCTAACACTTCCATGATTAATTTAGTATTAGCATTCATTAATATTTATTAAACACCTACTGAACTTCCAATGGACACTTTATGGAGGTGATGCTTCTCTAGGACACTCATATCAACAACATATTTGTCACCCTGGCATCTAGGGCAATTCTGGAATGCTCCTAAATCCAATAATGTCATGATAAAATTGCCAGTAAACTCTAGACACATACTGTAAAGGCTCTAAGTTCCCAGGACCGGCGATGGGTAGTCGCCTATTTGCAGGCACACCATGTACTCCTTGCTGGGCAATCCACCGAATTTGTTACTTTGATTGCTTGGGTACTTTCTGCCACTATTAAAGACCAGTTGATTCTATAACCCCAGGCTGCCTATGATGTAGCCCAAGATTGCCTTTGGCAAACCATTCCTGCCAATCACCTTCTTTGTGGGAGACTCATGCCATCATGCCCGTTACCTGCCCCTCGAGTGTACCCCATGCTGGCTCCCTCGCCTTTCTAAGGCTTATTGCAATGCTAGCTCTGCTCTTTTTAAAAACTCAACTGTCCTGTACCTTGTTTACTTACTTCAGGGCTATTAGGTCTTGTCAACTGACAGCCTATTTAACTTTTAGACAGTCTTCTCAATGCATCTCATAAAGGAGAAAAGGGCTATTAAAGTCTTGTGATGGGCAGTGCTAGAAATAAATGGAGCTCTTTGGCTGCAAAGGCAGGAGGCTGTTCTAAGATTTCTGTACGGCCACATTTAGAAAGTCAACAGTTAGGAGTAGATGAAGCCCGCAGTATTTTTAGTGTGTTAAAACAGCTACACATAGCAAATCCCGCCTGTGCTCTACCGTTAGATGGTTATTCTAAATGGCCTTGAGGCTGGAGGGATGGCTCTAGGGAGGGGCTCGGTGGACCTCCACTGCTGCCATCTGACCAGCACATTGCAGCAGACTCCGCTGGTCCCTGGCCCATTTCCTCTTGGCATTGGCCATCTCTGTGGCTATCAGCCTGACTTTCAACTGCTAGCACCTACGTTGGTTGCCGAGAGCTTTTTCTGTACTCTGTCTGGGTGTGTGGCGGGCTGGAAGTACCATAGAATCTATGCCTCCACGGGCAACCCTAGAGAACTGACCACTGGACCTTGGCAGATAAGTACCCCAGCCCTCAAGCCTAGGATGAGATAACCTTCAGCGGCATGTTCCACCCTGTCCTTCTGAGTTCCCTGTGCCCACACTGCCAACTTAATAGTGCACCCTGTATTGGCTTCCCTTCCCTTCTGTGTCTTGTGGGGCAGTCATGGGAAAGCCCTGGCAGAACTTCAACTACACAGGGCAAAACTGACCGAGGGCCCCTGCTGCTGTGCTTCCATGGCAGCGTTTGTGTGAGGTCACACCGCCCTGCTCCCAGCCAATGGTGGAATTTTGCAGGGATAGCCAATGGCGGAATTTTGCAGGGATAGCCAATGGCGGAATTTTGCAGGGATAGCCAATGGCGGAATTTTGCAGGGATAGCCAATGGTGGAATTTTGCAGGGATAGCCAATGGTGGAATTTTGCAGGGATAGCCAATGGTGGAATTTTGCAGGGATACCCAGCACAGGCCTCTTCCTGACGGGTGTGGGACCGTGCTGATAGCCAGCTCTGGTTCAAGGACTTCCTCATATCTTAAAAGTCACCCAAGCTTTTCTCTCCCCTTCCGCTGGGATCAGACTTATAATAGGTCTGGTAATGTCCCTGTTTTCCTTCACACTTGTATTTTCCCTGACCAGGTCCCTTCCCTGTTTAATCCCAACAAGGTGTCTGTTTCTTGAAGAACGAGCACTAATGCATCTCAATGTCCTGCCCTCCTAGTAGTGTTCCCGTTGTCACCTTCCCACTTAACTACTTATTTGCAGTAATCCTTGATTTAGAGTCTATTTCTAGGGAGAACCCTGAACCAAGACACACTGGGAGGCACAAGCTAACCACCGTATCCTTAGCTTAATTTTATCATTTTATAAAGTTATCTAGTAATTAGAAGTAGAGGCAGCCTCAGATGAGATACAGCCCAGCACACTCATGTTGCATGTGAAGGATGAGAGAAATGATTTCACCTCTCAGTTGAGGCAGAGGCAGGAATAGAAGATGACTTAAGATAATTATTGTGAACTGAAGTATTATACAGTGATGACCTATATTATCAAAGGAATTATTCCAACCGATCAATACAAAATAATTTGAATTTGCAGCTCTCTTATAGCAATATTCTTAAGCCAACCAGTAAATTGTAAATCCCAGGGGTATAAGACCGATTGATTTTTTAGATTATATGTGCACCAGAGTCTGGAGTCTAGGTAGGTAAAAGTTTACTCAAATATACACAACTATTTTCAAAATATATGAATAACATTGTTAACGAAATTAGTATTTCATTAGTAAAACATTTATTTTAATTCAGTTTCTATCATCCCAGCCAGCATATGCCACTTGTTAATCCACTCTCTGATAAGGTGCTATGAATTCTTGTAACATTTGCAGAGGGGTATCATATTAGGAAATTTTGGAAAATGGTGATCCGCTCCATTCCCTTGCCTTAAATAAACCATGCAATTGTGAATAGGTGAAACCTTCCCTGCTGTCTTTTTCCTTGACTCGTAAAATCCCAAATAATAATTAAGTTGTATTGCTCTGATTACATGGGACTCCTGAAGATGTATGTGTACCTTTTGAATTGATTGTGTCAGTTAATTCAATGTACCAAATTATTATTTCCAAAACTCATGGAATGGACTTTGTCATATAAAACATTCATATCAGATTCGTCGAGAATGGCCACTTTTTTTTTCCTTACTGGTTTTTCTCTATCCACCATCCTCCCATGCCCCTTCTATATGCCAAGTCTATATCCCTCCCACTGCCCCAGCCCCAACCCCCGGCTCTGTGCCAGGCACACTGCTTCCCACATTTGGGACAGCCTCCTCCTCCCATTCCGGCAAATACTGCCTGCCCCTTTCTTTTCTTTGAAACTCCAGGTTCACACCCAGTTCCTCAATAAGACCTGCCCATGTCAGCACAGACAATTGTACTGGCTCCAATACACTAATTCCCCAGGAATTTATATCAAAACATGCTATGGATGGTCAACATACACACCTCACTTAAATACAACTCTCCGCATTAAGAGGCTGCCTCTCTTAAAATAATCCCCACTGTACTCATCGGAAGAACTGAAATATTTCAATGCCCAGAGGTACATTATGTATACATTTCAGGAAAAATAAATGAATCATTGCATTTGAAAAATAAAGCCATTGAGGCTCTTGTGTGTGTGTGTGTGTGTGTGTGTGTGTGTGTGTGTGTGTGTGTGAGACTTTGGTGGAAATGGCTAGACTTCTAGTCTGGTTAATGATTCTTGAATTATATTCTAAAGCTTCATTAGTTAGAACCTTATTCATTTAGCAAATATCGGGGCTAGTTTACTTTTATATTCTCTATAAAGAAGGGGTTGGTGAAGCAAATCACTAGTGTAAACAAAACTGAACTACTTAAGAGAAAAATTGTTTTCAAGCAATTTAGCATATCAGTTATCTTTCTTATATTGAATACTCATAACATAAAAATTTACCATTTTAACCATTTTAAACTGTAGGATTTAGTAGTGTTAAATACCCTCACAATGATGTGTAGACATCACTACTATCTAGTTCCAGAGCTTTTTCATCATACCAGATGGAAACTCTAACCCCATCTTTCTGATTGTGAAGACCCTCCTTTCAAAGTCTGTAAGAGCTGCAGCACAGTTTGTAACAGTAAGAGCTGGAAACAGCCTAAATGTGCTTTACCGGGAGAGCAGATAAGGAAAATTTGGTGAAAACACATCGAGTGTTTTGCAGGAGGTAAGCCAATATAAAAGAGTAAAATGCATCCATAGCAACATGGATGGAATTTTAAAATACAGATAGGACAGGGGTCTGCAAGGTTTCTGTAAAGGTCCAGCTAGTCAATACTTCAGGCTTTGCAGGCAGTAGAATCTCTGTTGTGACTACTCAACTCTGCAGCTGTAGCTCGAAAGCAGCCACAGACACTGTATGCACTAAGGGGAATGAAACAACACTTTATTTATAAGTGTTGAAATTTGAATTTTATGTACTTTTTACATGACATGAAATATTATTTCTTTTTATATTTTTCAATGAATTAAAAATGTAAACACCATTCTTAGTTCACGTACCACACAAAAACAGGTAGAGGACTGGAATTAGCCAGTGAGCCATAATTTGCTGACCCCCTCGCTTAAGAGAAAAAGTAAGAAAGACCATGAGATATATACTAGAATATAATTTACCAATATTAAAACATATGCACCAAAGCAACAATGTATATTTCCTAGAATGTGTCCAAATAAGGCTTCTGTCTTAAGAACATTAAAATAGTTGTCCATTTAGGGGTGGAGGGAAGAATGGTAATATGGCAAGGATATAAAAAATAAACAGATAAACAAAAAGAAACAAGTTTTATTGTCTATCACTAATCCTAGTTAACATGGCACAGAACATTCTAGCCAGGATGTTAAGGCAAGCAAAAGAATTAAAAGGCAAAAAGATACAAATGAAGTAATAGTCTTGTTATTTGAGAAGGTGTGATATAAAGAAAACTCTATGGAAATTTATTTAAAAATCACAAGAATTAATAAATGATTTTAGCATCATCAAAATGCAAAAATAAATTTATTTCCATATGTTAGCAATGAAAAATTGGAAACAAAATGTTTTAAAGTACCTCTTGCAAAAACATCAAAAAATTATAAAAATTCTTAGGAATAAATTTAATAAAAGTTGTGCAAGTCCTCTACACAAAAAAACCTGCAAAACATTACTGAGACCGATTAAAGAAATCTAACTTAATGGAGAGACGGGTTTTTCGGATCAGAAAACTCAATACTGTTATGATAGTCATCCTCTTCAAACTGACTGATAGATTTAACACAATGGCAATCAAAATTCTAGCAATATTTGTCCTATAAGCTGACATCTGAACATAAAATTTATCTGAAAATGAAAATAATCTTTTGAAAAAGAATAAAGTGTAAGGACTTGCACTACATGATTTCAAGATTTATTATAAAGCCATAGTAATCAAGACAGTGTGGTATTGGTGTAGGGAGAGAAAATAGATCCAATAGAATAAGTTAGCAAGACTCACACATATATTGCCAATTGATTTTTAACAGTAACATTAATGCTATTCAGTGGGAAAGAAGAGGATATAAGAAATATGCTGAAAACTAGATATCCACATGGAAAAACAATAAACCTTGACCCCTATGACAAATCATGCACAAAAATTAAAAAGTCATTTCACATAGATCATGGATCTAAACCTAAAACTAAATGATAAAACTTCAGGAAGAAAATCTTTGCAAACATGAGATGGGCAAAAAATTTAAGCAGAAAACAAACGTACTAACTGTGGTATAAAAAATGAAAACTTCATCAAACATAAAACATTCTGCTCTTCAGGAAGACACTACTAAAAAAACGAAAAGCCTAGGAACATATTGAATGCAAATATTCCCAATACATGTCTGTCCGAGATATGTAAAGAAGTCTTGTAACTAAAAAATCAAAACACAAGCTGCTCAATAAAAAAAAGGTTAAGGACTTAACAGACACTTCACACAAGAAGGCATATGAGGGGCTGATGATGCAAATCATGAGTTAAGATACCACTTCACACCCTCTCTTTATCAGCAATATAGACCTTCAGAGCCAGCCACGCACGAGGCAGTGAGGTGACCGTGTGCTGCACGAGGCAGTGAGGTGACCGTGTGCTGCGGGGCTCAGCGGAGACCCCACAGACAGGCAGTGGCTTGGACTTTGCCCTGAGGATCAAGTAGGGTTCCAAAAGATAAGAAAAATGGCTCAGGTTATTCCCAGCCATCTGCACTGTCTAAGTAAAGGTGGGAGGGAAGGACTCTCCCAGCCTTTGTTGATAAAGCAGGCAGGTCAGGTCAGTCTTACTCCAGCAAAACAGCTATGTAGAGTAGAGAAAAAGCAGGTTGGATCTCTGAGTGCATGCCTTGTGGGGCTTGGACCTTCCCTCGGGGATAACAGGCAGGAATTGGTTCAGGAGCCAGGAGTTCTTAGCAGGAAAGACGGGTGTGTTGCTTGGATTTTGTGAAACCAATTTCACTCTCCATTTGTACTTGCAGATTCAGCTCCAGTGTCATTTTCTTGTGTTCTGAAAGTTCAGCAGCGAGCACCCGGGAGACGGTTGGTTTGGCTTGTGTTTCTGCCTTGGGTTTTCTGGGACTAACCACCCAGCGAATTCCACAATCTCTGCTAAATGGTGCTCCTAGCCGCGGAGGACGCAGGACAGCCCAAGGCGGACCGGCTGTCTCTGTGAGCGACGACAGAGCTGCAGACCCTGGTGGGAGACAGGGTGCTATGAACACAGCAGGGCACCAGGATGCTTGCTGCTGGAGCCACCCGAGGGGTGTTTCCGTGTGGCACTAGGGACTTGTGGCCGCCACTTTGATTTGTAGTGGTGAGCTGTCATCGCCAGTAACGGGTCCATGATAACATTTAAAATAAAGTTGAAAATTCACTGAACGCAATACTTTTAAAAGACTTCATCTTTTAAAACGGTATATGCAGATTTTAAAGGCAAGTAGATGAATAAAATAACAATAACCATTATTGAATTATATTTATCTGGGACCATTTCAGTGACCTCAATATCCCTTTTGTCCTGCACAACTTTTCCTCTCTCTCTCCAGATGAGGTTTGTATGAGTGAGAGTTAAGAGATCTGATGAATTTATTCATGCAGGAAAAAGTATCAGCATGTTATTTTTTTCTAAGAACAGGTACATTTTCACCTGGCTACTGTTTTCCCGCGCAATGAAGGATGTAGCAGTTTGGGGTTCCCTAGAGCGCCCGGCCACTGGTTTTCCAGGGAGAAGGTTTTTAGTGTCTTAGTCATAACGACATGTAAACAACTGATATGAGAAATTTTCTTGAGAACAGATCTTTATAAGAGGAAAAGGGAGGGAAAGAGAACATCAATGGCAGTGGGAATCTGATAAACACACATACAACAGGAAGGGAAAGGAAATAGATTGTTTAGTTTACCATCTTCATAACTTAAGGTATTCAGGTTTTGGGCATTAATTCTAAGTATTTCCTCCTTTACTTTGCCAATGAACAAATTTAAAAACAAAGTTGTGTATGCAACACCCTTCAATCAAAATTCTTAGTAATGGTGATTAAAGGTGAGTGTTGTGACGGAAGCCGGCCCTCTGCTGCCCAATCAGTATTTACATGGCAAATATTTATTGAGTACCTACTATGTTCCATGTGAGAGTGTAAGGATACAGTTACTCTAGGCAGGCATGACCTGTGCAGTCATGAAGCTCCTGCAATAGCAGTGGAGACAGTAAAATGATAATAAGTAAGTAGATTAAATAATAACAAGTTATAATAAGTGATGTGAAGAAAACGCTCAAAAGGCTTCCACTGAAGAAAACAGAGGGGGCCATAATTCAGGCCCATATTCAAGGAAAGTCTTTGAATACATAGTTAAGTAGATACCAGCCAGAGTCACGTGTGAGAAGCCTGAAGAATAAATTTGACCTGGTCGAAGAACGGGCCAGGCAGGCCACTGCAGTGACAGGGCAGTGAGAGAGGGGCCGGATCTCAGCAGAAGTTGTACAGGGACATCTGTGAAGGAGGCTCTGCAGCTTCATGCTTCGAGTCCCCTGTCCCCAAACCACCCTGGATTGATAGATAAAATGATAGATAAAACATAACTGGAGCGAATGTAAGAGACATAGCTACTTTTAAGCAAGGTACACATCTCTGTGGACTGTAAACAAGCAAACAGAGGGGAGATGCCAAGCTTTAAGTAAGAGCAAAAGTTCCATCCTGCTGATTTCTAAGCAGACACAGGCAGCTGGGAGCTTAGCTTCTGTCAGGCAACTAAAACGAAAAGGGACCCTGCCAGGTGGGGACTGCACAGCATGCAGCTTAACATCAAGGACTCGGTGGTACCAGTCCCCTTCCAGTTAGTGGATGATTCAAAAATAATTGTCATTGATCACTTGTGTGTGCAGGAAGCTGGGAGGAACTTGAGATGCCTCCAAGTCAGAATCTGGGCCGAGCTGTGCCCTTCTGGCTCAGTGGCTGGATATATTAGGTCCCTGATACACCCCAGAATGGAGTCAGGGACATCGATATAAAATCTGTTCTATAATAATAAGGAGCAGAGGCAATCACAAAACCAAGTAAGGAGAGGAACCGAGCACAGGGGGAAATCACACATCAATAACTCTGCACCCTGGGTTATTCTAGAGAAGATCTTGGTGTGTGCTCAGGACACCCCTATATGTGGATGTACAGTTGATCATTGTTGTTAAAGGAAAGTAATTGGGAAAAACCTATCTATGAATAAAGAAAAGCATGCAAAAACCATGATGTATTTATATAATTGACCATCAATGGTTATTCAACTGAAAGAACTAAACCTGCACATAACTTGGCATGGATCTTAAAAAGTGGTGTTGATGGTTCCATCAGGATAGAGTAGCCCCTATCCTCCCAGGTTCTTCCCTAAAAACTCAAAAGCCCTGGACATAGCACAACAAATGAGCACAGGAGACTGAAAGGTGAGAAGAGGAAGGTGGACGTTGGGACTTGGGGAATGACAGGGCAGTGAGTTCCCTGGGTTTCCTTTTTGTTGCCATGTAACCCAGACAGGGCCCTGTAGGAACTCCAACCCTGAGCCTCCAGTAGGTGCAGACAAAAACAGCTCCAAGAAGAGCCCATTCACTCCAGCCAAATCGCCTGGGAAAATGGCGGCCTAGTAATACGGTGAGAATGTAGACTATCTTACTCATGAGTTTCTAAAAGTCCTATTTGATGGTTGAAGAAAAATTTATGATGCCATCTGGCGTGACTCTCAATACATGTGGAAGAAATACATGAGACAATGACACTTAAAACATGGAAAGAGTAGAGACATCTAAGGAAAGGAAGACCTCTACATTTCACTCCAAGTGGTGAGATATCATTTCCAGTGACTGTGATGAGCTTTGTCTGTATGCTGCAGCACCTAGAACAATCACTAAGAAAACCACAAGAAGTGATATATTCAAATATGCTATAAATACATTAAGCTGGAATCTTTAAACATTTTTTTTCGAAAAACCCCTAGGATGGTAAGAGAAAAGAACAAGATAGAAAGGAAGCAGATCAGAAAACAAAAAATAAAATGGCAGACTTAAAAACCTAACGTATCAATGTTTACCTTAAAGGTAAACGGTCTAAATGCGCTATGTGAGAGGCGGAGCCTGGCAGAGTGGATGGAAAACTCGTCTAAAATGTATACAGAAGGAAACAGAAAGAATGATACTGTGTATGTGGATAGTGAAACACCAAAACCAATAAGGGTGTGTCATTCACGGTTCTGTGCAGAGGTAGTGAGGGTATAAAGCAAGGGCGGGGTGAGACGCACCAGGAGAAGGGTTCTGGGCCTGGGAAAGGAGGACGGGCAGCGCAGGAGAGCGGTGGCGGTCCAGGTTTATCTGTGTGTCCAATGCTAACACCGGACAAATATCTGGTAGGAAACCTGCTATCCTCCAAACGCTGCCATTTGTTTGAAATAATTCGTAATTAAGTAAAGAGTTTACAAAAATAAAAGCAAAGCAGTGATTAAATGACACAGAATCTTATATACTAGCATTAAAAAATTTGGTTTATTTCATTTTTATTTTTAATTGGCAAATAATAATTGTATGTATGAGGTACAATTTAAGTGTGGTTGAAGGATCAAGGTGATAATATGGCTTCAGGTGCAGTAATGTATAGGAGGGAAAGACTTTTTTTTTTTTTTTACCTGTCACTTGGTTCATGGATGACTAACAAAAGACAGGTTAACAAAAGAAAAGCATACAGATTTATTTAATGTAATTTTTTACCTGACATGGGAGCCTTCAGAAATGAAAACTCAAAGAAACAGGTAAACCTGTGTTATTTTTTTTTTTTTTTGCTAGGTTTGATGGAGAAGTGGACAGTTGTGAGGAAGTATGATTGGATTAAAAAAAAAAAAAGTATGATCTCTGGGGAGGAGGGGACTTAGCAGGCCAGAGATAAGGATGTCCCTTTCATCTGGGTAGGAGGAAGGCACAGTTGGAATGAGGGTCTTAGGACCTGCTTCAGAAGAGAAGGGGGAAAGGTGAGAGTGACCTTCCTTCTTCTATTGTTTTCCCAAACAACAAAGTGCCATATTTTGAGCTAGCATGCCCAGAATGCCACCAGTAGGTAGTCTTTTCTGATAAATTACATTTTTTAAGCAACTGCACAGACAAATGTAAACTCAAGAAACATTATGTTCAAGATGATATACTCAACTTTCTTCAAATCAGTCCCACAGAGAGTTGTTCTTAAGTCTGGGCCAGTTCATAATTCACTTTTTGTTCTTTCAATCAACTGAGCTGCTGGAGGTATTAGACTGCAGCTTTAAAACGCGCCGCCAGGATAGGGCATACGTACAGAGGACTGCAACTTCTCACCAACTCACTGAAAAGAGCTTGGATATAATTTTGCCTTATCTGAAAACCTAGGTGTTATCCAAATGGGAGGAAAGCAGGCAAAATGGCGCAGTAACCGAAAGATCAAGGCATGTAAATATGCCCCCTTCCAGCCTGGCCTCACCCCTCAGCGCCTACATACTGCTCCTCCCACTTGCATATAACAAGGCAAAGCCTTCTCCTGTCACGCTTGTAGAACGTTGTTCTGTAAAGCCCTGTGAACCCTGAATTACAAAAAGCCAGACCCCTGCTGCTCATAGGGGAAACCCAGGGTCAGGTGGCTGGGAGCCTCTGGTCACAATGTCTTCGTCAACCAATCAATATGTCACCGTCTTTTATGTGTGCTGCTGTTTAAAACAAATTACTTAACATACTTTGTTGATGCACTAGCATTGAGCTCCTGGGAGTGCACGTGGCGGGTGGCCAGGGGCGGGACGGGGAGGAGACTGGTCAGCGAGTAACAGGCGTGAGACAGAGGCCGCTGCAAGTCACCGGACTTGCCTCTGAGTGGGACGTTAGGTCATTAGAATGATTCTAGGGCCGAGACACCTATCAACCAGGGAGCAATTGGACACACGAATGTGGATTTCAGGGAAGAGCTACAGGCGGGGGACAAGGAGTGGGAAATAGTTACGATGCGGGTAGTGTGTAAAACTGTGACACTGGATGCAATCGTTAACACCAAGGGAGCGAGTGTAGACCGTATCCATGGAGCTACTTAACATAAAAATGTGAATCTGGACGAAATGGCTGTAACGTCAGCACATGGGAGGGGGGGATCTGTCTCTCTTTTTACTGGTGTGCCCCGACTGTTCGTACCCCAGCTGGCGTGCAGTAGGGGCTCAGTTGTGTTCACTGAATGAACAGTGGTTTATGTGCCCCGCCCACCACGACCACATCAGCGTTACGTCTGTGGCAGCAATGGAAATCTTCTCGTTTCCAATCCAGTAGTCTTATTTTTCCTGACGCTCCTGCCAAATTTAACTCTCATTATATCACTTGTGGTAAACACTAAAGGCACTTT